TTTTGGGAGAAATTAAATAATGTATTTTGAATTTTCTTTCTCTTGATTCAGCTCTGCTAATAGTTGTTCAATGTTTTGTGAGCGAAACAAAAGAAAATAATTCACTTTTTTTTCACTTTTCTTTTCTCCATCTAGCTATTTTTGATAGTTTTCCAATATCTTATGAGACAGATAGAATGTAATGGCTCAGTTTAGTTGTGTTACTGCACTTAAACAATGATTGAGTGCTATCAGATTTTCAACTGTTTTAGTTCTTTAAGAATCAGTGAGATAACTCTATCATAAACATTGACAAGTTCATAAAACAGAGGTTTTCGTTTACCGTTTCGGAAGCTCTCTTTAGATCAATTATCATCTTGAACGTTTCTTTATATTGTATCATATACCCTTGGCACGATTGATGACCTTCATGAACCCTCTCAGATAATTTTTCATGAAATCTAAATTGCATTGATGATTCTTATGAACTCTTCTATATAACTTTTTGATAATCGATTTTAACGTTGCTAGAAACCGTTGAGAAAGTTAATGTGTCCTTAGAAATGATTTATCAAAGTACAAAGTGCAATAAACCGTTTGAGAGTTTATAAATATTTTAAATCTTTCACCAATGATACTTGAAGTTCATAAACTTTTTCATCTAGTACCATCAGACATATTCTAGTGAACATAAATCGCGAGAATGAAACAGAATTGACGTCATATCGTACGAATTCTTCTTCAGATCTAATTCCATATATTTATTTCTGCAGAATTTTTACAAACTCTTTACATCTTTCTCCATTATTCGATACTTTTCAACATCCACGCGTTTATAGGTATTAGACTATCGTGGTTTTCTTCTTGTTTATAAAAATAGAATATATGTTACCCGTCTTTCTGATCCAAGGCGAAACTCCTCGTTTGAGTATATCAAATCATAATCAACCTCGATTGGGGTGTGGGTGTGGGTGTGGCAGAAGTACTATAGGAATCACACACACCCACACCCGCACCCCACGCCCACACTCACACCCACCATATCCACATCCACTCACACTCACACCCACACCTAGTAGTGACCTCCGCTCTGATCTATACTAGTCGATCAGAGTACAATATTTTTGCATAAAAATTCCAGGATAATCATATCTCTTTATGAGCTACATTGACTCATGGTCAAAATTGAAATTTCTTTCTACAAAACTTAGGAAGTCTTCAGAGACCATGTAAACAACCACGAAATTTTGCGTAATTATTTTTTCTTTAGCGACAATAATAAAACATAGTCCGTGAAAATTTGTCTCCAATCTGAAAATTTTGATAAAATAATTATAAGAATTTGATAGAGCAAGATTCAATGTGTAAATACAATTAACAATGACGAGGATGAGAATCAACTATAGGAGTATTATGGTAGCAACAAAAATTTATGACCGAACGCTTTTATCTCATCTGTGCTATGGGGAAGCACTCTATATTGCCCAATGTGGACCCTCATGAACTCCAATCCATTTTTCGGCATGTGCATACCCTAGTGCATGTATTAGTCTCAAGTACTTGAGCTTGTAGTGTAGAAAGTACATTGTGTTTTGATCAGTTATTTATGGCACGAAATACTTCGGTCAAGTACTTCACAATCATTTGAGTGCTTTCAAGTATTTAAGACCTCTGCATGTACTACGATCTTTGTTTGCACAATGAAACAGTACATGACGTTATCGTGTTATCTAATAGCAATGATTGAAAAGATTTCTAAAAAATTTCTCTGGTCCGAAAATGTTACGCTTGCATTTTTGCTCATTTCCATTTGAAATTCGTGTTTAGAATGAAAAATTGACCCTAGAACGGTTTTCATCTGTGCATATCAATCTTCTTGAACGTTGATCGAGGATGGTTTCCCTCACGCCAGAAAGTTCCGTCAAGTTCTTCGATACTACTGTAGCACAAGTACTTGAACCATTACTTGAGACCAATAAATGCACTGGGGTAGCTTGCTCGAGTAGAGAATTAGAAAAAATACTACTCCTTCGAGACTCCATCGATCGATATGAAGTTCTATCATTGGAGACAGCGATTTAGTAGGCTGTTCAGATTTACTCATGATAAGTGAGAAATAGAGAATTAAACTCATTGACCATTAAACTCTGCATTTTTATTCTTATTAAAAAGAACATTTCTTTGAATTCAGATTCTTCGACATCGACTGCTGGGAAACAATTGAGAAGATCAGGGAATTTAGCTTATTTCTTCAAGACAAGTAAATTTGTTTTCTAGTATTGCACCCACACCCTTACTGTTATCACAAAAAGTTTCAAAGGAAAAGAAAATATAGGAAAGTAGCACATTCCATCTAAAGGTGATATTTGAGATGAGCATTATCATGGAAGATAAATAGTGGCTTTGGAACCACCGGCACCCTGGATTTGGATAGAAGCGCCTGTGTAATAACCATTGTCCAAGCCAGATTCACGGAGACTAATTGAGACCTTGTGATGAATGAACGCTTCGCAAAAATCATTTGTTGTAAGATCAATTAGCTTGGCATCACATTGAACAGGATAGGAATCATCAAGACACGAGCCAATCTTTAATTGAAATTTGTGTTCAGCGCAGCCGCCACCATAGTTAACATTTATTTCAATCGCTTTTGTCTGAGCATTGTAGCGTCCATCCTGAATGAACGGCATATTCTGCCCAAATGCCATTGAAAAACAAGTCAACAAAATAGCCATAACCAAAACTGATCCCATACTAAATACTCCTTGTAGCCGACGAGCCATGGGGTCGATTTATATGCTTCTGAAATTATAAATATCACGTATTGAGAGATTTATTGTGAATCATCTAGGTTTAATGTTCCCACTATTTAGTTGTGCACACAAATTGTTGGGTAGGTCGAACAAAATCCTACCACGTGCGCGAGATAGAGAAAGACAAAAAATTCCAAAATATTTTCAAAATAGACCGACAAGAAGAAAAACTGAATGGTGAAGGGAAAAGAATCTATGAAAAAAGGCGTCAGGGATTGACGATTTCTATTTATCTGTTACAATATAAAAAAGTATGAGTTTATGCGTTGACACCATAGCCTCGGAGAATCTCTATCGAGAAATTTATTTAGAAAATTCAAACTTTTGAAGAAGAAAACTTCGGATTTTGTATCTGTTTTTACAACGCATCATGATCGTGTACATACATTGCAATGACAGCTGCAAAAACACACATCAATTATATCTTAGCGGACGCCTTCGACTCCGTTTTTTATCTTTTGGCACTTTTACAAGCGAGCGCGTGAGATATACGGTGAAATTAAATAGGCCACATTCAAATTGCGGACAAAATTTCAGCCCTCTCCCACGCTGTCAGCCTAGTAATTGGTTTTATTTTCGTTCGCAATTAAGAAGACACGATAAAATATATGCATGTTTTTTATTCTTCTCGTCAGTGATTTAACATAAGGCACATTTCACACTGACTTATATGTTAACAAACAAATAATCTTTCTCTTTTGCTGTAATGCTCGTAAAAATATCCTTCATCGATTCTTTTCTTAGTCAAAAATTCGCACACCTACTTTAATTGCAAGAAATCGCTAGGCTAGCTTTTCATTGTTTGTGATTGTCACTCTAAAACTGAAAAACGTTGAGCGTGATACAATAACCGATAGAGTTGAAAAGTTCCATCGAACAGGTTCTTTGTTTCGGCTTGAGATGAAATATTGAGACCCGAACAGAGCTGTTTTGGGGTCGTTCATCAATTTTCTGAACAAAAGATATTGTTTCAAAGTTCTGGGGAAAAAATCTCGACAAAATTGTGTATGCAAAGCAACAGGAAACAAGTACGGGGATAAAAGAGAAGAGTGGACTTTTTTAGACATGAACAGGCAATTAGTATGGATGTGTGTACGAACACAACTAATTTCTGAACTGATCAAATCAAAAATGAACAATACACAGAAGGCAATCACAATGTGACTGAGAGAAAATCGAGAGAAACAGAGTATATGTGAGTGTGGGTAGTTATATAGGAGTAATCCACACCCACACCCACAACCACATGTTGCCACCGTTTGAATATCTGAAATTGCAATTATGAAGCAAAAAGGTAGGTGTGAGTGTAGATGTGGAATTCCCATGAATCCATACTCACAACAACACTCACTTCTTTCTGAGATAATACAACACATTGTGGAGTCTCTTAAAATACAAGATAATTTTCAAAAATCTGTATATACACATTGGCGGAGACGTTCGAATGTCGAAATCTGAAAATTTGCTGTTTCCTCTTGAGTCAGTCAGTTATTTTGAATTTTGTTTCTTTGAACATAACTTGAAGAAAATAGTTTTATGCTGCATTGTGGAGATGTGAATGTGCTGAATCACTTTATAAAAAGACGAATATTTTCAATTGGAAAAGCTTTATTAACAAATACAAACTATCTATACTCTAATTTCTTGCACTTGTGTACCCTTAACATTAAGTTTATAGTTTAATATACAGGGTGTCCAGGAATTCACTAGACAAAGAAAAATTTGAAGATCTCCATTATGACTTGACCAAATGGGCTCATTTTTTTTACCAAGGATAGGGGCATGTTCACACTTCAAATCCATACAGACAAGGTTAGAGAAAACCTTTTCTAAGTATCACTATTGACTCCGACAAGAAAATTTTACATGTTCACAGATAGGATAAGAAAACAGTATATTTAACATAGCGTGTCGCTAATCTTGTCCGTATGAATTTAGAGTGTGAATATGGATCTGTCTTTAATAAAAAATCAGCTCGTTTGCTCGAGCCGTAATGGAGGGTGTGGATGAAGGTGTGAAGAGTGCGTGTGTTAAGATAAAATAAACCCACACCCACCCAAAAAGGTATGAACACATCCTTATATGAAATATCGATTTTACAATTTCAATCGAACATAAAAATAATCAAGATCAATTGTGGTAAAAATTTATTGTCAATAGTCGAACAAAATTTTATTTGTTTATTTATAAAACAAAAATACAAATGATTTATTTAGTTGTTCTTTGTAGTTTTGCTTGCATTCGTTCAAGTTTCCAATCATGTATTGAGAATATTTTATATGAAATTTTCATTGATTCTTTACGATTTGGATATAAATCAAATTGATCAACGAATTTCTTTAAACAACTAGAAAAATTTTGATGTTGAATTAATGTTTGTGAATCAAGTTGAAAACCAATAGAATATAATGCTTCAGTGTTATTTGATTTATATTCAATTGAACTTTGTGTTTGAATAACTAAATGACATTCTACTTCACAAGCATTGACAAAATGTGCTAAACGTGATTTCATCCAACCAATCCATTCATCTAATTCATTACTATTTTCACTTGAAAATGTTAATTGAACAAGTGATTTTACTTTTTCATTTGGAAAATCATTATTTAATTCAAGAATTTGTTTTAATGCATTCAATTTATCTTCCGAACTGATTGTATTTATTGTATTAAGTAATTGTAGAACGCATTGAAAACCTTGAATAATTAAATCACGAGTAGAATTGATTGTTGCACGTCCTGTATTATTATAGGGTGGACTTGGTGATATAATACGCATTGATCCTCGATTATGTACTGATGATTTTTCTAATAGATTCATTTGTTTATAAGATTTTGGATAAAGACGAAATGCTTGTGATGACCAATTAAAATTTGCGAAAGTTGAAAAAAATTGTCGAACTAATGAGAAAAGTTCATCAATAGAAAATTGTTCGATTGATGAAAGAGATTTCATTGATGGTAAGTATGTATGACAAATATATGCACATAAAATAGCCCAAGAATAGCCACCTAAATAACCGTATACTTGTTCATAAAGACCAACATGTTGAGCCCAAGTACGAATAAATGTCAGGAGATGTTGAAATATAGGTGGGCAACGAACATATGTCACCAGACGTTCAATATCATGTACCTATAAAGAAAAATATACAAATCTAAGACACTTTATCTGTATATACATGGTATTCTTATAACGATCTCTTTTTTTGGTTCTTCATAATATTACTATATATTCTCGTTACAATAAAATGCATACTGTTCACTCTTACTAGCATTTAAAGTTCAACAGAATGATCTATTATTGATCTTACCCCGTGTATAGAATGTTTAGAAGGCTTTTCGTTCTTTATTTCAGTTTGTACATAGATTTCTACTTTTGTTTGATCTTTAAATAAAATTGATATTATTGGAAATAATGCTTGAACTTTTCGGTAATAAACTATTTCATCTTTGAGATTTCCATTTATCTGTGTTTCAAGTAGATTAACAATATAATTATTTAATGCATTTGAATCATGTTTTAATTGAAGAAGTGATTCATCAAAACTTGTTTTATTGTTTGTTAATTTAAGTTCATTTAAAACAAATACTGTATCAAGATCTTGTCCATTAATACCCTAAAATGAAAATATTTCATTAAAAAAAAAAAATATTCTTTTTAATAAATTATTTTATCTTACAATACGAAAACTACCATATGATAAAAATGAAGTAGTAAAACAATGTAATGTATCTTTATTAAACATTTGTTGAAAACAAGATGAAAGTTTTTCAAATTTCTCTTGTTTTCGTTTATATGATTGATTTGTTTCATAAAGATTCATTGTTTGAAAAAATTCTTGTAATTTAATATGAACAGAATTGATTTGTTTAAAATTTATTGATTGAAGTATAGGACCTAATGGTAATTGATAAGTAATATGAAATGGTGTTGTATCATTATCATGTGGTCGTTGTAAAACATAAATATATTCAACAGGAAATTCAAATGATTCATGTAAGACTACAAAAAATTTTAAAAAAATGTGTTATAATTATTGTAATAGAATTTTTCGAAAATACAAAACATGATCAAACTAAACGTGATACATTGATTTTTCTTTGGTCTACTATCTATCTCTCTCAACAACTTACTCAATGATGATTTCGCTTCATTAAATTTTTCTTCATTATCAAATTGTCCAATTGTCATATGTGGGTTATAATAACTACTTCGTTTATCTCTTAAACATTGCGGAAATAGTTTAATTAGTTGTTCTTGTAATTGTTTAACATATTTTGTTGATTCATCATTCATTTTCATATAAATAATATTATTTTCAATAAATGAATCAATTTCATTAATTTTTATTGAAAATGATGGCTGTTGACTTAATAAAAGTCTTAATCGTAAAAGAATATCTTCTTGATCATTTTGACAATCAATTAAATCAAAAAATGGCCATAATAAATTAATATGTGATGGCCATAGACCATCATCAGATGGATAATATTCTTTACTATATGAACGAATTAATGACCTTGTATTTAATGTTGGCAATATAACAAGTGCTGAACGATGACTTATTGATCTTGTTCGAAAATTAATAATTAATTGTAAAGCATAATGATCAGATTGATTAATAAGTTGATTATTATCAATATTTAATAGATCAATTGGTATTTTTTCAATACCAATCATTGAAAGATGTTCAATAGAATAAGAAAGATTATCTAATGTATGAATTAAATATCGATCTAAACGACGATTTATTTGTGATTGAGATGTAATATGAGCACAAATATTAGTTGATGGATCATATGTATAACCAGGATTCTAAAATAAAATAGTTAAAATAATCTTAATTGATAAAATAAATTTTTCTATTAGATCAATGTATTCATACTCTTATATCAATTAAAATTTGCAAAATCTTACCTGATCAAGATTATAAACATCTTTCCATAGATCATGAACTTTATTTTCATATGATGCCAATATATTTTGTTCTTTTAGATTATTATCGCCAAAATTAAAATCTCCAATAAGCATATAATTAATTGTTTTCATCTTTTTAAAAAGATTTTCTAGAGTTTGACAACGTTTTCCACTTGCATTACGAGAAAGATCACTATGTAAATGAAGATTAACGAGGTCAATCGTTGCTTTAGTATTTAAACCAAATCGAGCTATTATTAGTTCTTTTGTTATTTTATGTTTTGTTACTGTCGTTGTTGCTGCTGTTTCTTCATCATTATCAGATAGGTCAAGTGGACATATAGAAAATGATCGAGGTCGAAAATTTTTCATTATCATCAATTGACCATATGATTTTTCTTTATAACTATCAATAACATTTTTCATTATAATAATATAATAATTATTTTCTTGTAACCATATTTCATTTAAAAGAAGATTAAGAAAATTATAAGTTACTTCTTGTAAACAAATAATATCAGGTAAAAGTGATTTAAGTGTATCAAGTATTGATCGATATCGTTGAGAAGTATATATAAGTGTTGATTGATAAAAATCGAATAAAATATTCCATGTGACAATATGACATCCTTCAGGAAGACATGTATCATTTGTTGATGGAATTTTTAGATCATCTGATGTTAATGTTATGTGTGGATATTGAATAATCCATTGTTGAAGAGATTGATCAAAATGATAGAGACCTTGTACAAGAATGGGTCTTTCTTCTGTATCTAGGATATAGAAAAAGAAAGGATTTGAACGAAATAAGAAAAAGAATATAGATGTTTTGAAGAGAACTATGAAATTCAATGCTTAATATGTTCATTAGTTCCCGAGGATATGATTGAAAATTTTTTTTTTCAATGATAGTAAGAAAATATAGGCGATATTCAAACCGTTATCTATTGATAAAGAAGAAAGGTGTTTGGAAAGAATTATTTATCGATAAAAATAAATTTTCGGCAAGTCTATTAAAGCACGTGAAGTATTCTTCTCTCGAAACATTGTATGCATTCATTGATTAAAAAAAAATTAAGAATTATTATAATCTTAAGATTTTCTAAGATCAGAAATAGAGAAGCTATAATAGATTTTTTTTTCATACCATAAAGTGTTCCATTTTGTTGTTCACTACCAGTTAATATATCTAACTTTCTTGTTCGATCCCATATAATACATCCATTAATTTTAAAATATCGAATACGATGCATTGGAACACCATACTAGAAACAATTGAAATATATTTTATGTATTCGAGTTAAATAAGCTTACTTTATGCTCATGCACTTTCTTAAATTCATTAAATGCAATTTCATGAATGCCTATAAAACGATCTTCATAACCAATTATAACTTGTGA